GAGGATCTTAATAATATCAGTCAGAACAAGGCCAAGGACTGACTTTAGAACAGATTATCAATTGTTCATATACGAATTCATGTTGAAACAGAAGTTAATTTTTGAAATCCATGAGAGTCAAAGTCTGCCCTGAATATATCTCAAGTGAATTGAGAGACCATCTCCAGAATTGTTGTTTTTGTTGTTGTTAGGTCTCGTTGAATCAATTCCGATGCATGATACAACTATGTGATACTGCCAGGTTCTGTGCCATCCTCATATTCATTCCTATGCTTGAACCCATTGGTGTCGATTTGAGATAGATCATAGGGACACTGTATAGGGTTTTCAAAGTGGGTCTGAACCACCGATCTTGTGGTTAACAATTCAGTGCTTATATGATAGTACCACACCAGGACTTAAAGTAGCATATTACAATGAAATGTGCAAAGACCTGGAGTCAGAAAACAAAATGGAAGAACACGCATAGCAGTTCTCAAGTTGAAAAACTGAAGAACAACTTTAAACTTAAAGTGCAATATCGAAGGATTCTGTTAGCAAAATAGCAAGGCATTAATGGAGTGTCAATTGATACGTCTTAACAAACAAATGCAACACTGGAAAAACTCACTAGTCTATGTCAAAGCATTAGGAAAACAGCTACCTGTCAAACAGATTGGAAGTGATCCTTATTTGTGTCTACCCCAAAAAAAGGGGATACATAAAGTGCAGAAATTATTGAGCAATATCATTACCACCATATGCAAGTAAAATTATGCTGAAGATAATTGAAAAATAATTGCAGTAGTCCAGTTAGAGAACTGTCAGAAATTTGCATTCAGAAGAGGACTTGGAAAAAGGGATATCAGTGCAGATGTCTGATTGATCTCAATTGAAAGGAGAGAGCACCAGAAAGATGATTACTTGTGTTTTATTGACTATACATAGGCATTCAATGTGCAGATCATAATGATTTATATATAACATTGTGAAGGATAGGAATTCCAGAATGCTTAATTGTGTTCCTACAGAGCCTGTACATTTGAATACCCTGTTAGTTGTTCCAATAAACCAAGGGATACTATGTGGTTTAAAATCATTAAAGGTGTGCATCATGGTTGCCTCCTTTCACCATATTTACTCAATTTGTAATCACAGGAAACACTCCAAGAAGCTGGATGATATAAAAAAGAATATGGCATCAGGATTGTTGTTATGATAATGTTAGATGCTGTCGAGTCAGTACTGACTCATAACGGAAGGAAACACTGCCCAGTCCTGCACCAACCTCACAATTGTTGTTGTGCTTGAGCTCAGTGCTTCTGCCACTGTGCCAATTCCTCTCGTTGGAGGGCTACTTCTTTTTGTTTACCCTCCACTTTACCAAGGGTATGTCCTTCTACAGGAACTGGTCCCTCCTGACAATACGTCTGAAATATGAGAGATGAAGTCTGGCCATCCTGGCTTCTATGGAGCATTTGGGCTGTATCTCTTCCAATACTGATTTGTTTGTTCTTTTTATGGCCCATGATACTTTTAATATTCTCCTCCAACACTGTAACTCAAATGCATCAATTCTTCTACAGTCTTCTTTATTCACTGTCAAACTTTCACACGCATATGAGGTTATTGAAAATACCATGGCTAGGCTTAGGCACACCTTAGTACTCAAACTGACATCTTTGCTCTTCAACACTTTAAAGAAGTCCTGTACAGTAGATTTACCTAATAAATCCATAGCATGTCAAGACCCACACAATTGCAAGCTTTGTCTTTCAATACAGCACAGGTAAACATCTTTATGATATTCTCTGCCTTTACCCAAGATCCATCTGAAGTCAGGAATGATTTCCCTCGTTCCACGTCCTGCTCTGAATTCAGCTTGAACCCTGTCAGTGTACTGTTGCAGCCTCTTAAAAATTATCTTTAGCAATATTTTACTTGCATGCAATATTAATAATATTGTCAGATGATTTGTGCCTTCCGTTGGCTTATCTCTCTTTGGAATGGGCCCAAATCTTGATCTCTTCCATTCAGTTGGCTAGGTAGTTGTCTTCCAAATTTCTTGGCATAGATGAGTGAGTGCCTCTAGACCCTCATCAGTTTGTTGAAATATTTCAATTTGTATTTCATCAATTCCCAGAGTCTTGTTTTTTTTTCCCCCAAGGCCTTCAGTGTACCTTGAACTTCTTCTTACAGGGTCATTGGCTCTTGATCAATTTCCACCTCTTGAAATGGTTGAACCTTGACCATTTCTTTTTGGCACAGTGATTTTGTGTATTCTTTCCATCTTCTTTTGATGTTTTCTGTATCATTCATTATTTTGTCCATTGTTGTTAGGTGCCATCGGGTGGGTGCTGTCTCATAGCCACCTTATGCACAACAGAATTAAACATTGCCCTATCCTGGGCCAACGTCACTACTGTTGCCACGTTTGAGTCCATCGATGCTGCCACTTGGCTCACCAGCTGCTCCTCGGAAACCCTATATAGGGTCGTTATGGGTCAGAGTCGATTTGACCACACTTAACAACAACAACAATACACATCATAGGCACAAATTTCAGCATCCTGTATTTGATCTTTATTATATTGTTATTGCTGTTAAATACAATCTAGTCGGTTAGACTCATAGCTACCCTGTATAGGGTTTGAACCGTCGACCTTGCCGTTTAAACCAACCTTGTGTTCAAGTGCTTATATTAGCAAATCTTAAATTTTCCAATCATGTTTTCCCCATTGCTATTTTCTCATTATAATGAAGGAGACTGAAATAATTAACATCCTTTTATTCTTTCAGAGAAATTACTTAAATGGAGCAAAGGCTGTGCAACAGTATTAAGACAGCAATGGCAGGGCTTTCAGGACCTAAAACCGCGCTAGTGTGATAACAGGTTCCCTCTGTAATTCATCATTTTTCTCTCTCACATGCCTGGCGATACCTAACTTCTGCTCTCTCTGGGCGGCTTTTTTTTTTTTTTTATCTCTCCAGGTGGTGAACTTGCCTGGTTTAAGAAACTCCCAAGGATACACTGTGCTGCATCTGGCTAGAGGAGAGGGTCTTCTTTCAGGGTGACTAATGTTGCCATTTGCCTTTTTTTTTTTGGATGCTTTGGCTGCTGTTTCCTTTTTTCTGCTTTTAATTTTGAAAGGGAAAAAGCTAATGTATCAAGAATGAATCTCCTCTCCGCTATTTTAAAAAAAATTAAGTTGGTTCCTTTCTCTTCACAAGTTCCGTAACTGTGCAAGAAGCGTGGGGGTGCGACACGTGGGAATACATGTGTTGTTATTGTGGGGTGTTGTTGAGTCGGTTCCGACCCATAGCAACCCTGTATAGGGTTTCCGAGTGGCTAGTGAACTTGAACTGCCGACCTTGAGGTTCAAACTGACTTTTCAGTCCAGCGCATTAACCCAGAATGGACTGATTACACCTATATCTTAAATTGGGAGCTTAAGGTACCACTCTGGTGATGAGAGTTTCCTAAACTCCTTGCAATCCGCCAGGCATTTTGCTATGCCCGCTATCCACTGCTTTCTCCTGCTTCTGTTACGCTTAAATCTATCTCGTCTTTCCCATAGGTATCCGAAATCAGGATGAATTCCAAGGGAGTCACCAGTCGTCTTGCTCCCGTCCCAGGTAAATACAGTACGCAAAATGAGGAACCACCAAAGGATGCCCTGGGTGTGGGGGGGGGAGGGAATTCCCTCGCCTTTTCTCTCACATTCCTCCTCAGTTTTCACCTGGAGGAGGCCCGCAGCCCGGATACCCTATTCTCACTTCCTAAAGCCCCTAACGTGGGCTGCGGAGGTTGGCTGTACCGCTGGAAAAATCCCTTCGGCAGGCTCGGTCCTCCCCTCCCCCCGGGTTGGTTCTTCCCAGCTGCGGAGGCAGCACCAGGGACTAGGGTGCGAGGAGAGTCTGAGCTCGTTGAGCAGTCTGGAAGTCGTGGCGACTCTCAGGGGACTCGGAGTTGGCTCCCGAGCTCCGGGAGCGAAGGTGAGCAGTGGGGAGCTAGAGGCTAAGACCGAGGGTGGCTCTGCCGGCCCCTCCCCATCCTCTGGCGGAAGAGTAGCTTAGATCTTGGTAGCGCGAGTCCTGCCGCCGCTTTGTTCGCGGCCTCTCCCCGCCCCTTTGGAGATATCTTGAACCCCCTGGTTTTCTAGGGTCTGGCTGGGGGGCGACAGCTGTACGGTCCTCCACTTCCTACTAGTCCAAGGAGGAACAAAAAACGATCAGAAAACTCCGGTAGCCTGAAACTTCACTCTGCTCCTAACCTAGACCGGGAGGAGCGGTTCAGGCGGGGGTGGAGACCCCGGAAGACAGGTTGTCCGTGGAGGCGGTAGGAGAAGGAGATGGGAGAGTGAGAGTTTGGTTGGGAAGGCGCTGGGAATTCGCGAGAAGTTAAACGCGGGGGACGAGTCTGTTCCGGAGTGGAGGAGGGAGGGAGGCTGGGAGAGAGTATATATAGTGTGGGTTTAGGAAAGAAGGGAGATTTTGCGCTCGGGTCTCGGGTTGCGCGCCCCTCCTCGTGGTAAGGGTGTGCTGTGAAGCCGGGGTAGGCGAGGCCCAAGCGGGTTTCGGAGGAGGTCTGGGGACGGTGGGGAAGACTTCGCTCTGGGAGGCCGGACCCAGCACTTGGGAAGGTGTTGCTGCGCCTCACGCTTCTCTCCCGCCTGCCCCAGGTCGCTCAGCGGATCCAGCGGGAGACTCCAACAAAAGAGGCGAGGAAGTGCCCCCGCCCAGGGGCGGCGGCAGGAAGGGGAGCCAGAGGAGGAGCGCGGAGCCGAACGTCCTTACCCGCCGTGCGTACTTTCTGGAGGGAAGGGGCGGGGGATTCGGACCCGGGAGAGGGACGCCGGGTGGCTGGGGTTAGCCAAATTCCGGCAGCGGCGTCCCTCCTCCACTCCACGAGAAGAAACTTCTCCAGAAGCTTCCGGCCGGCCCGTACCCTCCAAGCCCAGCCTTTCGAGCCGTCGGAGCGGGCTCCGTCCCAGCCCAGCTCCGAGGAGACGCGAGCCGCGATGCCAGGGGGTTGCTTCCGGGGCCCCGCCGCCGGGGACGGGCGGCTGCGGTTGGCAAGGCTGGCGTTGGTCTTCCTGGGTTGGGTCTCTTCGTCCTCTCCCACTTTTTCGGCTTCCTCCTCCACCTCTTCGGCGTCGTCGTCTGTCTCCGCGGTATCCGCTCAGCCTATGCTGCCGGGCCAGTGCCCTCTGCCGTGCGAGTGCTCAGAGGCGGCGCGCACAGTAAAGTGTGTTAACCGCAACCTAACAGAGGTGCCTGTGGACCTGCCTCCCTACGTGCGCAACCTCTTCCTCACCGGCAACAACCTGTCTGTGCTCCCTACTGGCGCCTTCGCCCGCCAGCCGCCGCTGGCCGAACTGGCCGCGCTCAACCTCAGCGGTAGCGGCATAATGAAGGTGGACGCCGGCGCCTTCGAACATCTGCCCAGTCTGCGGCAACTGGACCTCAGCCACAACCCGCTGGAAGTCCTCAGCCCCATCGCTTTTTCGGGCACCAATGCCAGCACCTCAGACCCCAGTCCCCTGATGGAACTGATCCTGAACCATATTGTGCCCCTTGGGGACGAAAAAAACAACCGGAGCTTCGAGGGCATGGTGGCGGCGGCGCTGCAGGCTGGCCAAGCGCTGCGCGGGCTCCATCGCCTAGAACTGGCCAGCAACCACTTCCTCTACCTGCCGCGGGACGTGCTGACCCGACTGCCCGGCCTCAGGCACCTAGACCTACGCAACAACTCCTTGGTGAGCCTGATTTATGTGTCCTTCCGCAACCTGACACATCTAGAAAGTCTCCACCTAGAGGACAACGCCCTGAAGGTCCTTCACAACCGCACCTTGGCTGAATTGCAGAGTCTGCCTCACGTTAGGGTCTTCCTGGACAACAATCCCTGGGTCTGCGACTGCCACATGACCGACATGGTTACCTGGCTTAAGGAGACCGAGGTAGTGCTGGGTAAAGCCAGGCTCACTTGTGCATTCCCCGAAAAAATGAGGGATCGTGTCCTGTTGCAACTCAACAGCTCCGACCTGAACTGTGATCCAATCCTCCCCCAGTCCTTGCAGACTTCTTATGTCTTCCTGGGTATTGTTTTAGCACTGATAGGAGCTATTTTCTTGCTAGTTTTGTATTTGAACCGCAAGGGGATAAAGAAGTGGATGCATAACATCAGAGATGCCTGCAGAGATCACATGGAAGGATATCATTACCGATATGAAATCAATGCCGACCCCAGATTAACAAACCTCAGTTCTAATTCTGATGTCTGAGAAACATTTAAGAGGACAGAACAAGGACAACTATGCATGAGATGCAGACTTTTGCTTTATCCTGTACTAGTCTTGCGCCACTTAGGCCCTACCTACACTTAGACACCACTGACTTTGACTGAAAGCAGTAAGGGGAATTTACTTCCTTGTTCTGTAAAGTTTTTTTGGTGTGCTCTATTGATGTAAGACATGAACAACTGTGCATAATATATTATCCTCCTCCCTTTCCTTGGAACCTGGTCAACACGTGTGGAGGGATTTTTCAGCATGAACGTGGACTCCTTGCTGTCTCTTTCTTTCTTAGTACAGTTCAAGATTTAGCAGTGTTCCCACACAGATAGCACTCAACAAAAGCTGCCTCAACTTTTTTTGAGAAAAATACTTTATTCATTAATACCAGTTTTATTCTCATGTATCTAAATTGTGGAGAAAATAATTGCATTCCATAAACTGCCTGCAGACTTTAGCAAGCTCTTCAAATAACTCCTTAGTCCACAGGAGCCTGTGCATCCAAGAGCATGCTTCATTTTACTGTTCTGCATATTACAAAAAATAACTTGTAATTTCAGATAATTACTTTTTTGATTGCAGTTTATATGAAACGATACTGAATTTTTTAAATAAACTGCATTGAGAGCCAACAGAATGAATTGTTAAAAAAAAAAAAAAAATCCAATAAAGGTTCTTAAAAGAATTAGTGTGTCTAAGTTTGCTACTTGATAAAATGATTAGTGGGAAGGGATTGGATAGCTTTGGACCAAATGATAATTGAGCGATTTAGTTAACACAGCTGAGAATCAAACTGGAGCAATGTCTTATATGGATAAACTTGGGAATAGTTTTTGAAATGGTGAGTCCTGCCAAGTTGTAATTAGAAAGTGTGAATGTCCAAGTGAAATAGTCTGGGTCTAAAATCGGTGCTATTCATGAAACAAGTTTGTTAGAGCATTATAAAGTTGTTGCTGTTGTTAAGTGCTGTTGAGTCGGTTCCAACTCATTGCAATCCTGCAAAGGTTTCTCAGACTTTAAATCGTCTTGTGAGCAGAAAGCCTCATCTTTCTCCCAGGCTTGAACTGTGGACCTTGTGGGTCACAGTCCAGTGCTTATCATATGGCGCCACTGTGCTCCCATTATAAAATTTATAGCGTGAAAAGTTGTGTACACTATAAACAGGGCACAGTTTGGAATTTTCTCTAAACTAATAAAGTTGGGACAGAATAGGCTTTTCGTATGAGATTGTTTTATGGACACTAAGAGCAGAGTGTGAAACAAATATGCGAATGTATAAAAAGGAAGGACCATAAAAACAGTATTCTAAAACAAAGGTTTTAAAAATGTAAGTTAAAAAAAAAAGTCCCCTCAATATCATAATGTACATTGGGCACTTAGGTTTTCTTGAGAATATATATTTTTAACCTTTTTATTGTGAATTGAGTGAAGGTTTACAAAATGTATCATCAGACCCACATTCAACAAATCATATACTCTGTTTCTTTACGATGATTGCAACCCCCTCCATATACCATCAGTTAATATTATTTACCTCTATTCACTTTAACTTTTACATTCCTCCCTGTGTTTTACATTACCTTCATCTTTCCTTTGCTAACTTCCCTCTCTCTTGTATATTGCCTTTTTGGTCAACCAAGTTACCATGTGTCTACCCTCGGCTCTGACTCATAGCGACCCTATGATTTAGGGTTTAGGGTTTCCAAGGAGTAACTGGTGGGTTTGAATTTTCCACTTTGTGGTTTACAGTCCAGCACTGATCTTCCAATGAGTAATTCATTGGAGAATATTTTTTTAATGGAACATACATGATGAATAGCTCTATTAGAGACCCTGGCAATATGTTTAAGAAATTTGTCATGATAGGAATATGAATTTGAGGAAATAATGAGAGATAAATGCCTATGCTCATAAACAAATGTCCCAACTAGTCATAGTTCTTAAATTCAGTTCAGTACTTAAAAATTTGAGAATATTTTGATTTGGTTAACAAACAGTAAATTGACCTTTAGGTTCAAATAAAAGTAATCAGTGTATCAATTGATGCTATTAGTAATAGACAAAGATTTTCTTTTTAGAAGTTTATTATCTACCACTTTAAAAATAAATTCCAGTAATCAATCTGCAAACTCTTATATAAAATGACTAAAATTTTAGTTAGCCATTATTGCTTAAGCTTAAAAGTAATAAGCGTACTTTCCATCAGTTAGTCTTGGGTTGTGCTTCCTTTTTAACTGTTTATGTTCTACCATGCTTTATGCTTGAAATAAATTTTACCTTTCCATATTTTTATAATAAAATAGCATTAGATAGTACTCTAGGTTCTAGAAATCTTTGCTATTTCCTTCGTTGAATTAAATGCAAAAGTTTTCAAACCAACGATCAAAATATGCAAATTTATTTCTTGTTTAGATGAGATAATCAATATGAAGTTTTATTTCTTAAGTTTCATAAGAATATGGTATTCATTATTTATGGATTATAGTTCACATTTAGCCAAGTACAGCCTAAATATATGACACTTAATATTCTATTCACACTTTAGACGTTCACCAGGAATTCATAACTTGGCTGGCTGCCATCATTTCCTTAAGAAAGATGAAAACACATGACTGCCACAAATACTGAACTCATCTAGTGAGCAAGAGCCCACTACCTAGGAATAAGGTAGACTTAAGTCTGTTGATAATGTAGACAGCTACAAATAAAAATATTTTTGGACTCTATTAGGAATTATTTTTTCTTCTGAGTCACACAGTAATCTAATAGTTACATATTATGCTTTGAGGAAAGCAGATTTATTAGTCCAGCCATTCTCATCAACTCCTTGCAGGAATATGTTGTTAAGTGAAGCCGAGTTTTTACATGTTTGGTGTATGGCTTTTTTGACTGTACGATTGCCTGCTTATTTTCATTCCCTTTTTCTTTTTTTGTTTAAGTTTTTCAAACTGTCCTTGCTTTCTGCTTTATTACACAACTCTTTGCTATTCATCAACACATGGCAATAGAAAATTCCTGAGATATAAAACACATATTGTTTGAAAACTTAACTAACTATTTTGTAGTCAATACTATAAATCTATAAGCATATGTGACATTCTAAGTTCCTTGAGAAATAGGTGCTATATAAATCCATATAAGGGAATATAGAAAAAAAAATGGAATAAAAAGTTAACATTTTAAGTGTACTTGTTTTAAAATTTACTTTGGTTGGCAATAGACTAGTTAATACTGAGCTTTATTAAAGGTTTCAATAGAAAGAAAAAAGGTCCTGTATTTATCCTGTGCAAGTTGCATTTGAAGAAATTTAGAAAAATACTTAAAAATTAAAGCACTTGATTAATTCAATTTAAGAACCTATCAAAATGTCCAATACTTTTCTATTTAAAATGGCATAAATTTTAGGCTAATATAGCTATTTGACCCTGAATAGTAACTCCCTTTTTCCTTGTAACCAGTTTGCAGCATTAATACATGTATGATTAGTTTTGCTACCAAGAGTGTGGTTTGTTGGTGACCTATAAGGCAGGCTCACACCGAAGCAGATGGATTCTACTTATACAGTAAAGAGATTTTGAAACATATTTGACAGAATCTTTAAAAAAAAAAAAGGAACTATACACTTGGGGAGAAAACAGGCTTGATTGAATAAATGAGCACATGACAAATGATAAATTCTTTTATATGTCTTGATTGGCAGCAAATGTGGATTAGACTCAAGTTAGTAGTTAATTAGAAATGGCATATCTTTGTTCTCTGTTTAATTAAAATGAAGTGTGATTTTTTTTCTAGGAATTTTGTTTTACTCTGTTAAGTCACTTTCTGTCTAATGTTTCAATACAGGTCTTACCTTGTTGAGGCTGTTAGAGGTTATGTAACTCTATTTGGAAGTTTTCCATATCATTTCTCTTTTATGTTTTAATTTTTAAAAATAGAGACACTGTGAGGATTTGCAAGGTTAAAAGTAATTTGGTATGGGCTTTTTTCTTGCTCTAAAATTCAGTCAATCAGACTTCAAAGCAATACCATAAACGGAAGGACAGTTATTAGATGAGATTCAGATTTCCATTTTATACTTGTGCAAGGATTTTTTAACTGTAAAGTGTAAAGGCAAAAAATTATATTTCTAGATAATATATGCAAAAACATATGTTTTGATGAAGTCTTTTAAAAATCTTTGAGCCATATCACAGTGCTGCAACCAGAAAGAATTAGTTTAAGAAAATATATTCTGCATGTCCAGGTGACCATGTCTTATTTAACCCGGGGAAAACAGCTCCTTAAGTATGCCCTGTACAGTTATTCTTTCATTCCTTAACCTCAGAAATGATTCCAAAAGGCAAACTTAAAAAAAATTTTATCTTAGAGAACATTTTAACAGCTTTGTCTTTGTCATGTTTTTTTTTAAATCTAGATATTAAAAAACATTTTTTAATAATAATTCTTAGTACTTAAAAATTGGAACAGCCTTTAGACGTTTCCCCTCCAATCTTCCACTGCACAGATGAATAAGCTAACCATTATGGCACCATTAAATGAATAAAATCAGGACTAGATTCTAGAGTTTTATGCCCCTCTTGTAGTGTTCCTTTGGTGTGATGATGATATTACTAATTGCCTACCTTGAGGTCTTTGAAATTTCCGTGTCTAATAAAAAAAAAAGGCAATAGCTTTGGTATTTTTATGTTGCTAGGTTTGCTTATTTTGTGGATCTATCCATTTACTTTAGACTCCACTTTCATTGTGTTAAAAATTACTGTCTTTGAGACTCTTGACTATGCTTAAGTAATTTTGAAATTTTTTTGTAGAAGTTTTATTCCTATAAAGCTCCTCTGAGTCTATGAAATGATAGGAATTATTTTGGAAATGTAATGGCAGTACTTCTTTTGAAAGGAAAAGTAAAAGCTCTGGAAAGCTTTGCTAGTTTGTATAATTTCTATTTTGCACTTGCGTTAGTTCAGCTGGTAAGAGCACTAAACAAATGAGACCAA